CCAAATTTGTATTTTCTTTAATAGGATGCCATGAATTTAAGGCACTTGCAACAATGCCAAATAACTAAATGATGTTCTAAACTATGGGACAAATGGACAACAGTACAGTTGACATAAACTTCAGTAATACTGACAATTATGACATTAATTCAAGTCTACGTTGATCTAAAAACATTACCTTACAAATAAGAAAAATGAAAATAATGCAATGAAGGTCTAAAGAAAAAGCTATATGTATACCATAAAATATCAACACGAAAAAATGCCTATTTACATAAATATTTTCCTGTGGTCCTATTATTAAATAATTTTCTATGGAGAATACAGCACTGTATGGAGCTACAGTTCATCTGTTTCTTTAGAACTTAGTTCTAATCAGTGTGTCTTAAATTTGTTAGCAAACTCATTTTTATGCAGATACGCTATTGTACCTCTTATTATGGAAAAGCAAGGTCTCAATTTCAGATGCATTATCGGAGAACAAAATATACCAAATCAATGGGTCTTACTCATGAGTAAATCTATCAAAGGTCTAATAGCCATAAATAATGAGTTGTCCACATACTACTTTAGCCAGGTTAAGCCTGTAATTTGGCCATGACAAGTTTACCATTCCCAGCTGTAATTTGTGGTTAGCATCTCCATTTTATCTACTAAATTCAGCGAAACCAAGAAATCTGCAACATTATTGCCCTAATTTACATGTTGAGTAGCACTTAATCTTATTGCTGGGGATGGAAAACTCACTATGGGAGGCCATTTTTGGTGTGATCTGCATGGAAGGAGTAACATGTGGACTAAGACAGTACATTGAAACATAAACGTGTATGTTTATATATATATATATATATATATATATATATATATATATATATATATATATATATATATATATATATATATAATATATGTAAATAAAATATATTACTTATAAATGCAGGGTTTGTTATTATACATATGCTAGTTTAAGTTATTGAAAATACATTTGGTAAAGAAGATGCAAGTGAGCCATATGACAAAATAAATTTATATTAAGTGCACACCACACCAATTATATATTATTGAGTGCAGTTCAAGGACAAAATGGAAGGAATCAAGCATAATAATTCATACCACGCTCATTCGGCAACTTTTCTTGCATAAATATTTTTAAAACTTGTGACTATTAGTCAGCTGAGTGCTTGAGGATGACTTATTAGCACTGCAACTGCTTAGATTGGAGACCACTATATATATTTTATAGGAAAACTCAAAGAGTTGAAATGAATACATTTTAGATTTTAATTGATTCAGGATAGGCACATCACTTGCTAGAGGTGAAGTGCCAAGGGTTCTTGTTTAATGATTCCAGATGTAATTTAGAAACAAGGGAACTTAACCCAAATGACTACGGAAATCTTTTAGCCCTATTAATTCTGCTTCCAGCATCATTTATATTCTAAATTATGTGTTTCGATTAGACTTGTTATATACAATTAATAATGCAGGACTAATGAAGCAGTAGAAGTTATTAACAAGTGGTGCAGTGTTCTTATAGTCGCTCACTGATGTATATTTGTAAAAAAAAAACCATAAAATTGACTATAATTAAATCAATCTGATAGAAATGAAGCTCGGAGTTCTTCTAAAAAACTGATGTTATATTAACTTAAGCTAAGGCGCTGTGTTTCTTTCTGGAATATTCCACTCAAGCTATAGGCACCCTTACGAATGTCAAAAATTGTCTAACGAAACTGTCAACAGAAAATTCTGAAAGTGAATCCCAAAGTTTATACTTTCATGCATTTTCAAGCAAATGAATCTAATGGATATGAGAAGAGATGAAAATGTCTGGTTAATTTTAACATGGGGAAAAAAAAACCTGCCCTCTTTTTTTCTATAAACTAAATTTAAATTTGGACTGACAAGATTGAAGATTACTACTGCTCTTCAAGATTGTACAGCTTGTGCCTCCACAAGAAGCCAGATATTATTCTAACTTATTCTGGTTATTCTCATCACACTTTCTAATCTCTGCTTGACTTGTGCCTTAATAGTTGCATGTGTATTTTGCTCACTGCTTATGAAAATTGCCATTCTGATTCTGCAAGGATGGCCAACAATATTTCTTCCTGTGTATGAGGAAAGGTTATGATTTGCTATATTACAGTGTTGTAAAGTTTAAAATTGAAATACCAGATTATACATTAGACAGGGTAGGAAAAAATATATATCCCATAAAATTACAGTGGCCTATTGCTTACTCTTCCCAGCTCAATTAAAAAGATTTACCTTTACTAAGGTTTGGAAGCTTAAACCATTTCAGTAAGGCTGATTGATGTACATGTGATTGGATGTTAAATGCCACATCAAGGATTTCTACTCCTGATCCTATGTACATTGGAAGCAGAGTGCTATATCCAGGACTGTTTTATTGTATCGTACCAGTCCTGGATTATGCTGGTTCTTTATTATTATTTTTGGTGGAAGCCATCACTAGGAACAGACAAACAGTATTTTTTTCCCAAAACTAAATATCTTAAAAAGAAGCCACAAGTTTGTATAAAATATGTGAGAATATTACGAAGAGATGATAATCTCTTTCTGTTTTTTTCTCCTTCAAACTCATATATTGTCTTCTAATGTATTAGATTAGAGAGCTTTTTTTACCGACATGACTGAATCAAGAACTTGGTGATAATTGGCAGTAGCCAATGAGCTTCATTTCTGAATGTTTTGGGGCTAATCTCTAAGCATCAGTTATGGGGATAACTAACTTTGACAATGCAAATCTCTTTAGATATAACCAGTGCAATTTATTCAATAGCCAGTGTTTTGCTTCAAGTTCATCTTATAGCACTGTCCAACGACAGGGAAATTCTAAGTTATACAAACTGGATTAGATCCAGACTGAGATAACAATCCTATTTCAGAATAAGTTCCGTGGAACAAAGTAGGTCTTACTTCTGTATAAGCATACACAGTACTGCATTGTAAAATAACTACAATAACTAAATTTTGGTATCATTGAAAATGGTGGTACAAGCTAGCCATGATTCATATTTCATAAATTTCAGAAGAAAAGAAAAATATAAACCTGCACATGTTTACTCAGATATGACAATCATTAAGTTCAGTGGAATTTATTTCCAGTAAAAGGTAATAGCATTATAGTCTATATGGTAATAACATAGCTGAATGCAGTCCTCATTAATAGGACAGCTTCAAATGCTAATTAGGACAAAGTAAATAAACTGAATGATATTAGGCAACATACAGGGAAAAGATAATTGGAAGCAAGCTAAATTAACGCAGGATGACAAAACCAGAGGTGTATTTCTGGATTCAGAGAAAAGAGCAAGTCATTATACTCCGTTGAGAATTCCAAAGGAAATGGATATTCTGTTGGTTTTCTTTTTGTGGAACTAATTTAAGAAGCTGTCACAGATGCAAGACTACTTCAACAGCGTATTGACAAATGCTAACAAATCATACTGATACATGGAAGCCTTAGCTGAAATTGCCTTGAAAGTTATCTATAATAGCCTTTTTGACATTTCTGTCCTCTGAACATGTTGAATTCCGATAACAAGTATGGACAAATTAGTTTATAGCACTGATCATTAAAAGATTCATGACTAGTAGATGTATTTCATCTTTAGATGGACCCATTTAAAGACTTGTCCACTTCAACAGGACATATTTAAAGGTGAATTTAATTCTCCTTTTGAAAGGAAGTGCATATTGAAGCATTCCATTTCAATTACATTGTTCCATGTTTGTAGACTGATCTGTAAGAGTTATATTGTACAAGAAAAGACTGACTAATTATCTTTTGAGAAAATAAATATAATATTTGTGGGATCTGGAAGAATAGAAAAGAAAAGAAAGTGAGGGCAGTACCGCACAGTAGCATTAAAAATATGCATACGTATCACCCACATATGAGTGTGCANTGAGTGTGCATAGGAATACACCCACGCACACAGTTCTAACTGACAGTGAAATTCCTTGCTACATTTTGTTTTCTGAAAAATGAGTGTGGAAGTTTGTTTTATTTCACAGATGAAAGATGTACATAGCACCTATATAATAATGCAGGGGATTTTGCAACTTCAGGAGGCTCTCAATGTGATTGTTATTTTAGAGTAACTATAAATACCTAATAGACTCATCGGTTAATATTTTGTTTTTAGGACCTCTGGATAAGCATTCTTCTTTTTCTTTTACAAGATGGTTATTGTATATATGTAAAACAAATAGTTTTATGAACAATTTTTCACATCCTCTTATGTATCCGCATCCATAAAAGAAATGTTAAAAGTAAGTTCTCAGACATATGATATGAGGATTGACTGACCCATATTTGCTAAACAGTTTAACAGGAAGTGTAGCAGTTGTGCTTCTGTTATCAATTGGGAAGAAAAGCGTATCAGAACTAAAAATGGAGAAAGGTAACATTCATTCTTGTCTTGTGCACTGCTTGAAAAGAAAGACAAATTATAGCACTACTTTGACATGAGCTCCACTTTTTCTGGTCCTCCTTAGTTTAACACTTTGGCCTACTTTAAGAGGCTCAATGCACTCTACCTGCAGTTTTGGGGTACCATAGATTCTACAGCATAGAATCGGCTACAGTACTTAACAGTTTGGAATAAATTTAGCAATAAAGAAAATGAACTTACAGTTAGAATTATGTGCATCTCATTCTATCAACTTTCAAATTGTAATGGAGCATAGCATGTTCAGTACCATGATAGAAAACACATGTAAATTATTGGTGGAAAAGGTTTTGCTTCAGGACCACCATGTCAACTGCTGTGTTAAATTCAAACGGAAAACATGTGAAGAGCACTATTGTCATCTAAACAAGAAGTCCTAATGCCACTGTAATTACTGTAGCAGCATCAATCAAGGCATCATGGTGACCCCGAGCATGAATCCTTCCCAAATCTTTCAGGTCTGCTGGCAGCCATGTCTCAGGAAGCTGTCTTCAGCAAGGCAGAAGCAGGTAAGAGAAAAACATTAAAAGTCTATGTCCCATCCTGAGTTGTCATCAGGTGGTGGTTCATCGTTGTCCTCAGGGAAGCTATCAAAATTGCTTGTATCAGTTGGAGATGCAACCTGTCCAACGAAGGAAATTAAACTATTGGTAGTGTTAGTTGTTGCATTTGGAATCTTTAAACAATTTTCTGATTTCAGCTATGAGCTCCTTATACCACTTTGTGAATTCATGTTGGCCGGTAAGAGTTAGAGACAGTTCAGAAATGTAGGATTCTGCCATTTTCATTCATAATATTGTTCTATGTAGTACTATTAAAAAATATTCTGTGAATGGATTATCGTGGATTTGGATGCTTCTACTCCCTCGACACCCGAAGCGGTAAAAGAGGAGTTAAAGAAGATGAAGAAGAAGAAGGGTGTTTCTATGCAAAGTGCATTGTTCAGAACAAAAATAATGAAAACAAATTGATGGGAAAAGATGAAAGGGTATAATGGATACCTCATAAATTTTTATGATTAAAGCAGGGTGATTGTACATTTAGAAAGTAATTTTGAAGCAACCTTCAAATGAATGGCTTTGGCTTCCTAGTATTTCCTAACTAGAATGGAGAGTTTGACAAAATAATGTAAAGATTTCTTAATGACACTGACAGCCCTTTGAAGTGATCTACAAAGCTGGGATTTAATGTAGATGCATGGCAGGTTACATGTGAAAAACAGAATTGGTGTAGAACTGTTTAGAAAAGGCATATAAGCAATGACAGAGGAGAAAGAAATTGTCCACATCTAAAAAGTTTGTGTTTGTTTATGTCACATATGACAGATAGATAAAAAGTCAAGAAAAGTTTAGAAAGTGGGAAAACAAATTGTTGATGTTTTCCATTTACTTGATACTGTATGATCCCATATTTATTGAATTAAATATGGTAGTTCATTATGTAAATGTCAAGTGCTTTTGTATATCATTTGACTTCGGGGAAATCTGTTTGCAAGAACATGAAAGACTTATAAAGGAATCTAATAAATTAGAATAAGCTGCTACTGGTTAATTTAAACTTAAAATAATAAATATAAAATATATTTTATATTTTAGAAAAGTGGACTCAAAAAGTGGACTTAAAATTAACAAGGTGTAAGTAATATGATATGATAAGAGTGTTCCAGTAATATCTGTATTTGTATGTCTCCCAGGAATAATGTAATATTCATAGTAGCACTAGTAGTGAAGTATCTGTTTAATGATTAAAAGCCAATACAATAAAGACAACACAAGTATTCTCTGTCCTCCAAAATAAATTAAATCTTCTTGTGCTGTTCCTGAAAATTGTCATTGCTTGGGGGTCAATGATATAATGAATGACAGACGAAAACTTACTATTTTCAGAAAAATGACCTTCACGATTCCTAAATAGATTGAAATGTACATTCATTCAAACGGAATTAGTTACTTTTGAATATGTAAATTGTTATTGGGGGAAATATACATAAGTTACAGATTCCTATGTATTATGTACTTTTCTATGTATTAGTTGAAACACGGTTTCATGGTGAATGTGTGAAAATAAATCAGAAAAGTCAAATATTTTAAATTGCATTCACTGTGGGTATAAATTTAAATCTGATAGGAAATATTTATTTCATAAGTAGTAAAATTCAAATAATATGTAGAAAATTAAACTAAGAATAGCAAATTGTAACAAAGTAATGTGTATTAAAAGAAAAACAAACACATTAATCATCACCACAATTTAACCCAAAGATTACCATGTTTCCCCAAAAGTAACACCTACCCCAAAAATAAGCCCTTGATTTTTTTTGGGGGGGTGGGGGAGGATGGGCCTAATATAAACCCTACCCCGAAAATAAGCCCTAGTTTTGGAGCTAGGCGCACGCCTAAAAGTCAAGCTAGGGCAAGGGTGGGGGTGGAGCTTACAATTGCAGACAGACCTCCCATGGATCAACACTTGCTTCGCCTCACCGGCTGAAGGAGCAGCTTCATTCTGCAGCTGACAATGGAGCTCCGGCTTGCATTTTGCCATCAGAGGCCTTTCCGGAAGGCCTCTGCAGCCGTGAACTGAGATATGGATTCAATCCACAGCTCAGTTCTTGGCTGCAGAGGCCTTTTCAGAAGGCCTCTGACGGTAAAATGCAGGCCGGAACTACATTCTCAGCTGCAGAATGAAGCTGCTCCTTCGGCCACAGAAGTGGGTCCGGATGGGTGGGGCTGTCAGTGCTGCTGCCACAAGGTGGGTGGAAAAGAAACCTCCCTGAAAATAAGACCTGGTGCCTCTTTTGGAGGCAAAAAAAAAAAAAAAGACCTGGTCTTATTTTGGGGGAAACATGATAATTAGAATGTCCACAGCTCTCATAATAATAATTTATACAGACCACAATTACAAGAGGGCTGTCCTTTGTATTTATCTAAGAGGACTATTTTTCAGTAATTGTCTGTCTTAAAAGAGTTATGTTTGATATAGAAATAGATGTTCTTAAATCCATGTACTGTATATAATTCATGTTTAACAGAATGTCACTTGATCTTCATTTTTTTTTTTTACAAATTTAGTGGAAACAAAGGGAAAACACCTACAGAATAGGTATTTTCTTTCCCCCCCCTTTCAACTGTATTTTTAAGACCCTATTATCAGTAGTGATACTGATATTTACTGTTAGCATTAACATGGCTCTGCATGGAAATTAAAACAACTGTTGTGTGATTTGTAGGCTTCAAGTCAAGTCAAACTAGAAAGTCATTTACTTTGAAAAAGAAAGGCAGCATCCTACTTATTTATGCCAATTTGGAAAAAGTATGACAAGTTGTCAATTGAATACAACAGTTTGTGATCTAATGCGACATTTAGAAACTGATGGAGTGATAGAAGAAATGAAAAGAAGAACTGAGACAATGCAAGTTGGAAGAAGAACAAAGAAGCTTTCAGTAACAAAAGTGTAATGATTTCATTAAAATACATTTCAGCCTAAATATTTGTATTTTACTATAAGCTTCATCACTGATTCATTTCTCTGAAAATGAAGTCAAGCAGAAGTCTGCATACATGGAAATGTCAACATAAGATAAGATCACATTTCTATGTTTTGGATCAGAGCTCCTGCTTGTTTTTCCAATGGGTTTATTCAGCAACTTTCTTAAGTTATGATTCCAACATATATATTTTAACAAGTAATACAGCTATACTCACACTTGGTATAATAGGAGGTGTCAATGTACCTTTTCTTAAACCTTCCCAGTTAAAACCTTCAAACCACCTAAAGACAGAAGAAAGATAAAATACAAAGAAATTTATATGATCCAGCTACCATTGCAAGCAAGACCAAGTAGCCTAACATTAAACATTACAAAATTTACATTTCTGAAACCCTCTTACTTAATACTTGGGGGGATGGCAAATTTGTGGAACACATAATTTTATCCTGATTGTGGCAGTTCTGATGGTATCAAGAATTTTCTAGAGAAAATTCTGAATCAAGGATCTGTCCAGACGCAGATGCCTAATTTGTGATGAAAAAATAATAATAATAGAATAAGTTTATTAAATTACATGAGATTCCCAGATGTTGAAGCAGATGGACAGATACTTTAATATTGGCTATCTGTTTTCTTCAAACATGTAAAAAATAAAAAAGCTAATAAATATCTTTCCATATTTCAAAGATCTGACTTGTTGATATCTATAACCCTATTTACATTTAACCTGCTTCCTGTTGATGTTGTATTATGTTAAACAGGAATTGCTGATCGGCTTCTGAAGCAATTTTATTTATTATGTTGTTGAAATGTTCTGTTAAATTTATTATATTATATCATTATATTGTTGAATTTGGGTGCTAGCTGATTCTAACCGCCGCCCAGTTTTTCTCCGTCGGAAGACCCTGCAAAGGGTCGAAAGTCACCCTGGAGGGGCGACCACCACTGAGGAGGACCCTCGACGACCGCGGAAGGGCGGCAACCCTTCCGTTGGATCCGAGGAAGCTCCTTTGGACTGACAATTAACATGGCCGATCACCAAGCTGTTTCTGCCGAAAGCCCAAAGCACTACTAAGCACGACGAAAGCAACCTGGAGGAGTTGGGTGAGACCTTACCTTACCTTTCCTGTTTCCCATCTACTTTCCTGTAAAAGCCTTTGAATACCTTCTTCCCCCTTCTCAATTCTGCGGCTCCTGCCTACTTTGGAAATACAAAGCTAAGGAAAGGAAAAAAAATAGAACAACTAGACTAAACCACTAAATATTTGGACTTGTAACTTCTGGATACCTGGGCTCTCAAAAAGTTTTTTACTCTTACAGAGACTTATTATTTTGTTTCTTTGCTAAGGTGGAAAAAAAATATTTCTTTCTTTCTTTCTTCTTTGAACTGGATAACAGCTTAACTATGCCTGGCACAAGGGACACCTTGTGGCAAAATGTGGTATAGCAAGTGAATTTTTTTTTTGACTGGGAGACTTCTGAGACTAAAATTTGTCCTTGACATTATCAAAAAAGATAAGAATCTGAAACAGCTGGGTGGTGAAAATAATTCTCTATAGTGGAGGTGGATTCTTATTGACTTTTATTAAAATAGCCTCCACTAAAGGACTACTTGCAAATACCACAGAAATGGAGGAACACCACCCACAGCTTAACTTCAAATATATACTTGAAAAAATCCTAGAGGCTACTGAGCTAATGAATTCCAGACTGAAAGATATGCGTGCCACCTTAAAGCTACAAAACACAGCCCTGACTTCAATAGATGTACCTACAACCCAAAAAGCAACAGAAGAAGAAGGAATTAACAATAAAGTGGATTTCAAAGAATGCCAGCTACAATCTACTCAGAACTCTGACATCCAAACTTTGATTGCATCCAAAGAATCTACAATTTCAACAGCAACAGAAACTGAAGAAAGCAACACTAAGACGGAAGATCCTGAAGATTTACATACACAATACACTGAGAATTCAGACAACCCAGATGACCAAAAGACAACTACAACACTGAATATGACTTTTCATCAAAACCAGCCGAAATCAGAAGAAGAAGATCAGCCCGGAACTCATGACAAATATACTAAGCCAAATATGGAGATTTAAACTATCAGGCCAACAATTTAATAACTATGAAGGGACTAGCTTCCTTGATAGGCTGATGACTGGATGGTCCCCCTTGATTCAAATGACATATGCAGGAATGAAGGGAGATCCACCTGAGGATTTAAAAGCTCTGTTATGGAAGCCTGTTTGGCACAAAAGGAATGCCAGAGTTAGACTTAAAAAATGGTTTTTTTTAATGTGACCTCTAATGGAAGAGCTTTAAATCTTACTTAATGGGATAAGGAAATTTTAAAAGATATTAATTGATTTAATATTTAGGATTTATATCTATAAGGGAAATAAATTAGTTACTAGAACAATAGTTTTGAATTATAACATAGAAGATGGATTCAGAGGATAAAGGTTATTTTATTATTAAGCGATGATGAGAATGAGAAGTAGAATATGCAGAATATGATTGTGGAATAAACTAAGAATCTATTTGAATAAATAACAAGTGTATTTTAGATATGATAACTATTCTGTAATGAACTAAGGGAACCGTGGGTTATCCGAAATCTAAATATTATGGACATTAAGCCAATTGGAATACTGTAAATAAAATCAGATAAAAGTTAAAAACAGGATTAGAAGGCATATAAATCAAAAGTTGTTGATAAATGCTTCAAATGATTGAGTTATAATTAGCAATGTATTAATTTGAAATCTGGTATAATAACTAAGGAAAACAGAGATGAAATTTTTGATGATGTAAACTGATATATGTATGGAAAAGCGTGCTATTGGATTACGTATTACCCAACCACCAAGTTGCTTCCTTAATACCTAAAGCTTTGTAAAAATGGAAAATTAATAAAATTTGTTCAAAAAACAAAACAAAACAGAGGATTACTTTTTTTTTTAAATATACCTACTTGTGTTTTTGAATATCCTTGACTCCATTTTTCAAGTTACCTAATCTTTCCGATGGGTTGTCCCTGTTTAAAAATAAAAGAACAAGAAAACAGTTATAAAAGAAAGTTGGAAATCAAAGCTTTTTCTGGTACGTGTGTGTGTGTTTATATTACAAAAAGCTTATATATATATGGCTAAGAATGACAATAATAAAGAATGAAACAAAATATCAAAATCAATGAACTTAATTAACAAGAATCATTAAAAAATAGAGTTGTTCATATTTGTGTGTGTGTGTGTGTGTATGGCTTACAATGGCTAAGAATGATAGTAATAAAGAATGAAAACAAAATATCAAAATCAATTACTTTAATTAACAAGAATCATTAAAAATAGAGTTGTTCATATATATATATACATACATACATACATACATACATACATATAATTTTCTTTGAGAGATTACTAACGCATATAAAGAATTTACCTGCATAGTTTTTTAATTAAGTTAGCAGCATTTTTGGCAATCTTCTTTGGAAATTCAATCATGTCAATCCCCCTTAGTATGATGTTATATGTTTTCATGGGATCTGGGCCTGAGAAAGGTGGACTATAGAAAAAGAACAAAAATGCTAATTAAAATCTAGTAATATATTTATTTATTTTTTGCAAATAAGCTGAAATCTGTTTTAGCTTATTTTGGATGATTGTGTGATTTAAGCATTATTATATACTGCTTATGTAGTTATTATGTCTATATCAAAGGTGAGAATAAGAAAATTACTTAGGACACTGCTTTTATCAGAATACAGAATAAAGGCTATCAATAAACTACCAGAAAACCAAAGTTTTAGTGTTTGGCCAATTATCATAAGGGTCACAAATGGCAAATAAATGGGACTCAGATTATACAGATATGCAGTTATACTTATCTTAGAGTGTACTTTTATGCTTTTCTGTCCTTGAGTGCTATTTTTTTAAAAAAAGTTTTCAAGGCTGAAAGGGGCAGACTAGATTCCAAATTTGGGATATACTGTACATCCTGATTTCCTAAAACTATATCCTATCTTCACCACTTAGACTATTGTTTCTCAGCCTTAGAACTTTAATTCATGAATGTTGGAAATTAAATTTCACCCATCTTAAACTTGCCAAGATTGAGAAAAATCTGGAATCCTCAGTCTGGGAGACTATTAACCATTGCTCAGAGCTTATAACATTTTACATTTTTCTGGAATATTTTATAAACAGTAGTTTGGTAATAAGCCTTGTGCTATTATTTTACCCAAAATGCTTATGGAAATTCATATGCAAAATATTGGGAAAACATATATTTAGGCATGATCAGGAATTATTGCAGTTCATCAAGGGGAAATCTGCAATATGCTGGAAGTGTGAAGAGACCGTTGGGAATTACTACCACATGTGGTGGCAATGCCCAAAGGCACAAAAAGTTTGGAACTTATTAAAGAAGTGGTTGGAAGAAATTTTGCAAATAGATATAGAAGCCAAACCGGAATTTTTCTTATTGGGAATTATAGAAAGAAAATATAAGAAAGACACAAATTATTTACTACTGCATATAGTAACAGTGGCACGAATAGCCTTCGATCAAAAATGGAAAGAGAAAGATACTCCAACTGAAGAGGAAATATTATTGAAAATTTTCAATTGCGCTGAAATGGATAGATTTACATGGGAACTCAAGGACAAAAGTGAAACCAAGTACTATAAAATCTGGGAACAACTTTATGATTGGATAGACAATAAGAGGGTAGTCAAGATAAATGTATAGTGCTAGAATAAAATATAGATTTATAGACAAATATAGACAAATGTATATTTAAAAGATAAATAGATATATAGAAATAAGGGGAAAAGTGTTAATAGTATATTATAAATAGTGAGCAAAGTTCAAGAACTATATGTCTATATGAGTACTAATACTATTGTAAAATGTTGGAAGATGTATGGAACCAGTGACGTCATATCTATGTCCAATGTGTTTTTAATTTTGTATTATTAATAAAAAAAATTTAAAAAAGGAATTATTGCAGTTCATCCTGTAAGAATTAAACTGAGCTAAACAGTCATTTACAATAATGTATTTTATTCTTACAATACTTCATTATAGGTAGTCCTTGACTTACAACCACAATTGAGCCCAAAATTTCTGTTGCTAAGAGAGACAGTTGTTAAGTGAATTTTGCCCCATTTTACAACCTTTCTTGCCACAGCTGTTAAATGAATCATTGCAACTGTTCAATTAGTAACATGGTTGTTAAGTGAATCTGGCTTCCCCATTGATTTTGATTGTCAGAAAGCTGCAAAAGGTGACCACATGACTCCAGGACATTGCAACCGTCATAAATAAGAGTCAGTTGCCAGCACTGGAATTTTGATCACATGACTATGGGGATGCTTCAGTGGTTTTTTTGTGAAAAATGGTCATAAGTCATTTTTTTCAGTCTGTTGTAACTTTGAACTATCACTAAGCAAACTGTTGTAAATCAAGGCTTATCTGTATAATGGACACATCTAATGGCTAAATTCCAAAGTAATTTAAAGACCTTAGAAGATGCACAGATTGGCACAAGTATAAGGATCTATTACTATAGATAGTACTATTATTATTATCTACTAGAGGTACAGCATTTCTAAATGTTTAAGACTTTCGTAAGCGTTATTCCGTGAAGTAGGTAATAATTCCTATTAAAAAGAGTATTTTGATTTTGAAAGGATTTTTTTTGTACAAAAGAATGATTTAAATCCACCACTTGCTGGCCTGTCTCTTCAGTGTGGTTCAATGTGGTCCCAATGTGGTTCAGCCAGCAGCCTCAAAAATATTACATTCAGAAATCTTTAATTTATTTAATTAATCTTTATTAATTTAACAAATAACTCAAGGTGGCAAACATATCACCTTCCTCCTTAATCTCCCCACAGCAGCAACCCTGGAGGTTAGTTGGGGCTAAGAGAGAGTAACTGGCCCAAGCTCTGTCAGTTGACTTTCATGGCTAAGACGGAATTTGAACTCACAGTTTTTTGCTTTCTAGCCTGGTGCCTTAAGCACTAGACCAAACTGGCTCCCTTTTATTCTTCCTATTCAATGTTTTCAGTGATTTTTTTTTTTAGAAATAAAAGTCTGTTTAATTTTTTTTTAGAAATGTGTTGTTTCAAAATACTATCTAGCTGTTTTCTAGCATGTTTCCATTTTGTTTTAATTGCCTTATATTTTGGGGAGATGTTTCAAGTTCCTTCTTGAAGACTGAAGTTCAGTTTTTATGCATGCATCAATTTAAACATATCTAACTGGTACCATGAACTCATGATTTGGTGAACCGGTAGAAGAATGCAGGTTGATTTGGCATGGGGGCAGGAAAGTATTCACCAATTAGAATGAAATGACCAGAAACACCAATTTGTCCTCGTCAATACCCTTTCCTCTTATAGTGGCCATTCAAAGACTTTTAGTTGTTATAAAGCAGGTTGTGAATCCTTGCAAAATTGTAATAAGTAATTCCATAGTACGTTTTTAAACACCATTTTTGTTTGTCATAGCATATGCCAGCTCTGAATCCCAACTCTTCTAATCAAAGTGACAACAGCAGAAATATTCTCCAGTTTGCTGAACTATTTTTATATGGAGCTCCAATTCAATGCCCATACCTGCCAGTCAAGAGCTCATACATTAAGATTCCCAGTGACCAGTAGTCTGCTGAAATGTCGTGACCTTTGTTCAGAATGATCTCTGGGGCTACGTACTCTGGAGTTCCACAAAAAGTCCATGTTTTCTTTCCAAATCCTATTTTTTTTGCAAAACCAAAATCGACCTGTGAAAGAAGGTTCACACACCCATCAAGGAAGACAAAAAGTTAAAAGCACATGCAGGCACAACATATAAAGAGATGGTCACAACAAAGGCCTTCATGAGCACAAGTGCATCTAAAGAATAGGCTTCACAAGAAAATTCTCAAAGGAAGAGTACCAAAGAAAGCCCTTGAGGAGCATATTTCAACTCTTGAGATTTAGAAAAAAGCATTAACAATTTCCATTTAGTAAAACGATCTAACAAAGGTAATCTAAACCTTTCAGTTTTACAGCTCTTTAATGATTAGCTTATGTATTCTAGTTAGTTATTACCTAAGTGTTAAACTATATAAATAATATAGATCAGTAGCAGGCACCACCACATACATTGTATTCAGCACCATTATACTTTTCTGCAGTTCCAATCCCCAATCTCCATAACTCAAGAAATGGCAACTCAAAATGTCATAGTGCCACCTGTAGGCCACATTATAACTTTATCAAATTCAGATGAAGCACACATGCTATGATTATATTTTTGGAGGATTGTGATCTTATTACTTTTTCATCTTCCTGCATTCTATCACATTATTCCTATTTCCTCTAAATGGCCAACATTCTTGTGCAGAAAAAAAATCCTATAATATCATGTTTATACGATAAAGGGCAGAATTAACTGACTATGTACAGTGGTGGCTGGACACTATCAAAGCTGACACCAGCTAGAGCAGGGGTCTTCAAACTTGGCCCTTTTATGACTTTGGACTTCAACTCCCAGAATTCCTCAGCCAGGCACGCTGGCTGAGGAATTCTGGGAATTGAAGTCTACAAGTCATAAAAGGGCCAAGTTAGAAAACCCCTGTTGTAAGCTAAGGGCTACCTGTAATAGACACCACAGTTTGATAAGGTTCAGAAAGAACTTATAAAACACAAGAGAAACAGAAGGATGGAAATATTCACACACTGTTGTGTTCACAAAATATACCAAATGAAGGCCAATAGGAAATCAAATCATTTTAACATGGGATAACTTCTTAGAGGCTAAATTTGATTATATTGTACACTGCCCAGGGCACCTCCTTGAAGGAGCTGGGCAGTCTAGAAATATGAAATACAAATACGGTAAATAAAATTGTTAAAAAACTAAAGTCATAGTGGGATAAATCTTAGAATCATATTTGGTTATTTCTTCAAGTTATTAAAATCTTGCTCCCATATCAGAAGGGTACAACAGAAGGGAATAAACTTCTGATTTTTTTTTTTGCTTATTTGGCTCCCAGAAACAATCAGATTAATCTGTTTGCATTAAATCTTTTATAAATTGATTTGTCCCAGAATTGCAGAGCTGAATACTGCCTTTTGGCCAGAAGTACAGTTTAGGGCTGTTAGAAAAGGCATTTTATTACAATGGAAGAGGCAACTGAGCTTTAACTACAGGGCGATGTAATTTTTAATTGCTATTTGGGAAGAAAACATCCCCACCACTCACCAATTTGGCATAACCTCGGTGATCTAGGATGAGGTTTTCTGGCTTGAGGTCCCTATAAATGATTCCTTTGGAATGCAAATAGGCAAAAGCTTCTACCACACAAGCTGTATAAAATCTGGTTGTAGAATCTTCAAATGAACCTCTGTCAAGAGGAAAGAGAGAGAAAGATTGAGATTACTTATGCATTCAGTTAAGGACCTTTGGCAACAGTAAAAACAAACACGATAGCATCATTACTATATAATTATAATGTAAAAACCAACATGGCCAATTAAAATTGGGAAGATAAGTATAGAAAACACAACAAATATTTTAAAAGACTGAAGAAATTTAAAGAGATTTAAAAATCCAACAGCTTTAAGACACATTTTTAAAATACATTTGAGCATTAGAATGCATTCTATTTTGACAGAATGGTTTAAAAGAAAAATCAGCAAAATATCACATGGACAGTTCTAGAAACAAAGTCAATAAATAAATTAAGTAAAATGCTAATACTCTAAAATAGTTCTATTCAGATCTTAGTTTCCAGAGCTCCTCTAAACATAGCCTCTGGTGATCAGCTTAGAAGTCAACAACAAATAGAAAAAAAATCTCCCATATATTATGCTTCATCTTTATACTTCACACATTTTTAGTACAGAAAATCACACAGTCTTACTTCAATACAAAGTAAGTCTTTTCAATGAGTAAACCTAGTGGAAATAATGGGATTTGTGTTCATCATGTCTTTCTCTTTGATTTTAATAGAACTGATCTAAGCATGACTAAGTCTGAATCCAATCTGTTTTCATCCCCATATTGCAGATAAACGATCTGAAAACAAGAGAACAGGGATTTGTATAAGCCTGCTTATGAAAACTGAATTTGGGGCATCCTGGCTCACAGCAAAATGCTTCAGATATTCTAGTTTACTTATTCTAGTATGAGAAGGTAGGGTCACTTAAGGAGGGTATGTATGTGTGTTTGGGGTTAATATAAACATGGCCAGTCCACTTAGGTAACCTTCCAATTCCTGGTTTTGCATCCTTTCACCCACCATCTGATGGATATGAAAATAATGTTCTAGGAGTACAAATGTAGAAATACTGCATGCATTAAGAGGTGAGGAAAATAGAGAGACTTTCATTCCAGAACAGAGTTATGGTAATTTGGATTGGGCTCCAGTAATAAGTCAAGGAATGTATTAATTTGTGTTGCTCAGTGCTGATTTGGTTAAGAATAAACTAGCCTAATGCCAAATGGTTTGCTCCTCTTAAATTCACTCCATTGTACAGTAGTAAATGTTATGCACATGGTTAAATTAAATGGGGATGAATGAAAATTGAGGTACATGAAAATACTATTTAGAATTTACAGACAGAGAAAGATAAGTCATCTGAACTGGCTATATTAATTTTTATGCACACTCACTTGCAATGGCATGGGGGCACACCCTCGAGTGGAGTCAAGTGACCATTCTTGGACAAAAAAGAAGAAATATGGCAAACCTTCCATTCTACTTAGGGGAAAGTAGAGATTTAAATACAGGTAGTCCTTGACTTACGACCCCAATTGAGCCCCAAATTTATGTTGCTCAGTGAGAAATTTGTTAAGCGAGTTTTGCCCCATTTTACGACTTTTGTTGCCACATTGTGTTAAGCAAATCACTGCAGTTGTTAAATTAGTAACACGGTTGTTAAGTGAACCTGGCTTCCCCATTGACTTAGCTTGTCAGAAAGTTGATCACATGACCCTGGGTCACTGCAACCGTCATAACCCGAGTGTAAATCACATGACCACGGGGATGCTGCAATGGTCATATAATCATGAAAAGTAGTCCCTTTTTCAGTGCCATTGTAACTTTGAATGGTCACTAAGCAAACTGCTGTAAGTCGAGGACTACCTGTTATGAAAAATAATTAAATAAAAGTAATACCCTCATGCTCCCCCTCTATGAATTTCTCCAAAAAATTATTTTATTCCTGATGGAAAAAAAGGGGGGAAAACGTCCAGCCTTTGCAAGAAGCACCGAAGCTTTTGTGGGGACTGCAGAATATGAATCCCTGACTACCAATGACGATTCTGTTCCAGGAGTCTAATCGTGTTGATATTCCTTAGCTCCCTTAACCTCAGCCATCATGGCTTCCAGAAGACCCCCCCAAAAAAACCCCAAATAGGAAGGACAATGGCATCATTGAAAAGAATACTGGAGCATGGGGTCAAGGTTCCGACTAATGAAACACTTCAAAGAACTTCCAGGCATTGTTTATCCTAAAAGCCTTTATTACAGTGTAACAGAGTGTCGGCACAGCATGGATGGATGCCAAGATCTGAATTTCCCTTCCTTTGCACATAACATTCCAGGCTATTCCCCTCCCCTATTTTGCTGTCATGATTCACATTTTCCAACCAACCTGGAGGGCAAAGATTCACTTCTGTTTCCTTCCCGCGCGCAGTCCTTATCTTTCTCCTCCCCCCCCATCATCTGAATTAACTCTAAAAATACCAGACAGTTCTGCATATCTTGTCAAAGCAATAATATCCAATATTAGCAACATTGACATCCGCCCCCCTTACAAAAAGGATAGATCCTGTATGTGAACAAAAGCATATGTCAGGGATTATCCCTTGGTTTGTTGGGGTTTTTCTCATGAAACTTTTCGATGAGTCAGTCAGCCTTCACATCGTTAGATTTCACCCAAGTAGCTTCGGACAGCGAGTACCCCTTCCATTGTACTAGGTACTGCAATTTCCCTTTAAAAATTCTAGAGTCAAGAATACGTTTCACTTCATAGTGGGTCTGTCCCTCAACTACGAGGGGCCCGGGTGCCTTCTTAGGGGGAGGTCTTAAAGTGGAGCTCCAATAAGGTTTCAACAAGCTGCAATGGAAGATAGGGTGAATCCTCCCTAAAAGCCTAGGGAGTTTCAATTCTACTGTGACGGGGTTGATAATCCTTACTATGGGGAAAGGCCCCAAGAATTTTGGTCCCAATTTCTTGCTGGGCAATTTGAGGCATAAATATTTAGTTGACAAATAAACCTTTTCCCCAATTTGGAATGTTCTTTGGGGAGCCCTCTTTTTATTAGCCTGGTTTTTGTAGGTCTCAGAAGACTTTTTTAACGCAGTTTTTGTGTTTCTTCAAACTTCTTCCCACCCCCTCACCCATTGATTAAGTGTCTGGGAGGCGGAGGGCACCTGAGGGTATTCAGGTATTGGGCTGAACTCTTTTCCCGTGGCTACTCTGAAAGGCGTGTAGCCGGTACTGCTGTGAACAGAATTATTGTATGCCACCTCTGCGAAGGGGAGAGTTCAGTTTGCCTGTTGGTAGGAAACGTAGCTCCACCATTTTGTTAGTGGATTCTGCAGCACTGTTGGTGGCTGGATGAAAAGCAGATGATAAGCCTTGAGATGATCCAATTAATTTAAGAAAACTCCTCCAAAACTTCGCTGTGAACTGCACTCCCCTGTCCGAAATTATTCTCTTAGGGGCACCATGCAGCTGGTAGATATGTTTCAGGAACAATTTAGTCAGTCGTTGGGCAGATGGGAGTCCTTTGCAGGCGATGAAATGAGCCTGCTTCGAGAACAGATCTATCACAGTCCATATGACAGTATTTCCTCTACTTTCAGGTAGGTCTACTATAAAGTCCATAGCTATTTCTTCCCATGGTTGAGAAGGGTCTGCCACCAGCTGCAGTAATTCAGAGGTTTTTCCTGGGATTCTTTTCATTGTGGAACATACAGTACAACTTTTTACATAGTTTTCCACATCCCGTTTCAGCTCTGGCCACCAAAATTGCCGGCAGGTGAGGTGGAGAGTTTTCGAATATCCAAAATGTCCAACCTGTTTAACATCATGGCTGTGTTTGAGAGCATTAAGACGGAGGGCTTCAGGCAAATACAGTTTCCCCCCCTTGTAAGCCAAGCCATCTCTGCATGTTAGGGAGGTTTGATTATCTTTGAACCATTCATCAGTGAGGAGCTCTTGTTTTGTTTTCTTTACCCCAGGGTCATCAGGATTAGGGACCCTGCGAGGCGTAAGTTGAGCGGCAGTTTGTGGATTGGAGATAATTGCCTCGTTAACTTCTTCAAGTTCGCTTTTGTATTGGGGTAATTGGGATAGCGCATCAGCTAGGAAGTTTTTTCCTCCTGGAATGTACTTTAGAGTGAAGTTGAAGCGGTTAAAGTACTGTGCCCACCGCACTTGCTTTGGGGACAATTTTGCGGGGAGTTTTCAGTGCTTCTAAATTTTTGTGATCTGTCCATACTTCAAAAGGCACCTTGCTCCCTTCTAGATAGTGTCGCCAGTTTAACAGCCCCCACCTAATTGCGAAGGCCTCTTTCTCCCAGATTGCCCATCTCTGCTCACTTTCAGTAATTTTTTTAGAGGTGTAGGCGCAGGGTTGCAGGACTCCACTTTTGTTCTTTTGCAGTAATACAGCCCCAACTGCCACATCGCTGGCATCGGCTTGAATCACAAAGGGCTCCCCTGGGCAGGGGTGCTTTAGGACCGGTTCAGAGTTTTGGGGGCTGCCATTCAATTATAGCTTTCACCTTGGCTGGATCCATTTCAATGCCCTCATTGAAAATTCTGTAGCCAAGATAATCTAATCGGGTCTGGTGAAATTCACATTTCGACAATTTGGCATAAAGCTTGGCATTCAACCATTTCTTTAACACTTCTTTCACCAACTTTATGTGATCAGTCATATTTGTGCTGTATATCAGGATATCATCAAGATACACCAAAACCCCTTTGTACAAGTGATCATGTAGGACCTCATTAATCAACTGCATGAACATGGCTGGGCCCCCTGTAGTCCAAATGGCATGACCTTGAATTGATAGCTCCCCATAGGACAGTTGAAGGCAGTTTTCCACTCATCTCCCTTTTTTATTCTCACCCGGTAATATGCCTCTCTCAGGTCTAATTTAGTGAAGACACTCCCCTTAGCCAGATGGGTTAATAAGTCCTTTAGGAGGGGGAGGGGGTATTTGTTTTCCACACTCACAGCATTGAGACCTTTATAGTCTACGCAGAGACAAAGAGAACCATCTTTTTTTTCTTTGAACAACACAGGGCCTCCCATGGTAAATTTGGCCCATTCAATGAACCCCCTCGCTAGTTTTTTGTTCACATATCGCTGCATTTCCTCCAT